ATTTCTAATCATATGATTGAATAAATCAGCGGTAGAACAACGAAAAAAATAAGCTAGGGATGCGCAGGAGGAGGACGAAGGAAGAGTGAAAAGCATTTCCCTAATGCTTTCGTGGTTCTCGTTGTACTTCTGCTGTAAAATTTCACTATAATGTTTCTCGCTCTAATGATGTTGCACATTTTAAGTTCGATTAAGACTAACAAGTATACAATGAACGAGCGAGAGATACTTGGCTCTCTCTTTCAACAATCTTTCTCTTCTTATATCTCTCTTCAATGGATATATCTCCGATCGTATGCAAGAATAGCCCGAGCATTAGCGATAGGCAATGGTGGGAGCCACCAAAAAGATGAAGCTTTGGTAGTTGCAAGTACACAACTAACAACCATTTTATCAACCATTGCAAGGAAAGGGATTGCGAATTACAGGCAGAAAAAAGCAGAGGTAAAGGTACCAAAGATCAATTTTTGCAAGCATAAAACAGCATAACTCAGACGAGCACATCTCCGATTGCCCGCCGGTTGAATACAGCCGGTCTCAACATTCGGGACAGGTCGATATTGAAATTTGAACCCGAAAAAAAATCTTATAAACGATCAACTGAACTCATAAACTGAATAATGCTAAGGGTAGGGAAACAAAATACAAAGGCAATCCTAAGGTGGCAGATTTAACCAACAAGCTAGATATACAACGGGAGCGGAACAAAAGCTTCCCTCCTTATTGTCCACGCACATAGAATGTGCCGCGCTATCATAACCAGAACTACTGAATACCATATTTTCTGGTGCAGATTTGTCGGACCCTTCATTCTTTGCCATCAGCAGCACGCAGCGAACCAAGTTGAACTGGGGCTTGGGTTCCCACAACCTTAGATGAGCCATACACCGAGAGGTCAGCGCCTTGTGCCTTCTCTTTCTCAATCTGTTCCTTGATCCAGAAGTAGGTAATTCTCAGACCATCCTAAATGAACAAAATGAAAATGTGAGTTCAAACTATGACGTAAACAGGGAGCAAATACAAAATCAACAACAATGACCCCCGACTTTAAAGAAACTCGGTGGTTTTAAGAAACTGCAGAATGGGTACTCTCAAGCTATTTACCTTCAACCTCATGGTAGGAGCCCAACCAAGTTTCTCTTTGATCAGTGTGTTGTCTGAGTTACGACCACGGACACCCTCTGGCCCAGGAATGTGCTGGATAGGCAGCTTCTTGTCCTCAAAGCTAAGAACGATCTCAGCCATTTCATTCATGCTAACCATCTCATCACTTCCAATATTCACTGGCTCACGGAAGTCTGACTTCGTCAACCTTAATCATGAAGAGAGGACATAAATTACAAATTTTAAAGGGGTTTCATGTGAAACAACATATACCTAATAAAAATTTGGCCCAAGAAAAACAAATAATGGAAGTTTTTGTACAAGGGCCACGTTAATCTACCATACAATGTTGTAAGGTTCCGCAGATATAAATCGAACACATAACAAAAAGATATTTCAACAATGTAATAAATTCATTTGTCTTCGTATCTAGCACTGTCATACAATTACTTGCAGAAAACGCCCTCTTAACACCTTCAACGTATAATGCAAAAGATTCAAACCAAATCCATAAAGGTTTAAGTTCTATGCTGACTTTATCATAATCAACTAAACTAGACTCCACAAAGCCTTGTGAAAACAGGAAGAAAAAAAAACAATCGATGACAACATCTAAGAACGTCAAGTATTTTGAAGCTTAAACCCTAAAAAAGAAGTGTCGTTCAGCTAGAAAAGTTTTGAAACGAAAAAGTGATAGTAATAAGGTTCTTACCGAAGTACACCTTCTACACATTCATCAATAAAAGTGAAGGATCGGGTCTGAAGTCCATCTCCCCACATCTCAAACTTATCAGTGGCAGTGAGAGTCTTTCTGCAAAATGCAGCAGGAGCCTTCTCCCTTCCACCTACACAACAGATACAAGTGAGCAACACAGATTAGGATAAAAAGCAATAGACCATGCATACTTATCAGCTATCATTGCAATTCAAGTCACCTTTCCAGGTTCCAAAAGGGCCATAAATGTTGTGGAACCTTCCAATACGGCACTCGATTCCAAAGTCTTTGGTGTAGTGCTTGCACAATTCCTCAGTTGCAAGCTTCTCCAGGCCATAAGCATCTTGAGGCTACAAATAAAGGTACAAAAGACTGAATTCATTTAATTCGTTCAAAACTAGAGACCAAAACCATAACCGTAAAGTAACATACCTCTGCAGGCCAGGCATCAGACTCCTTCAAGCTGACATTGGTTTCCAGCTGCTTAAACTCAGGGTAAATACACGCACTAGAAGCATAGAAAAACCTGCAGAAACCCAGATAACAGATAGAGAATTTGAGTATTCGAGTACTTCAAAGCCTTTTGGAGTTAAGGTCCCAACTTTCCAACTCAAACATAAAGCATTCATACACCACATCAAAGTTATAACTGCAAGTTTGGGAGATCAAACCTCTTCACGTCATTGATCCTAGCAGCTTCGACCATGTTGAAACTAATCATGGTATTGTTATAAAATATGACAGAATGGTTGGACTGAATGAAGCCCATTCCGCCCATATCAGCTGCGAGGTTGAACACATGGTCAACATTCTTGGTAACCTTCAAGCAATTATCCATGACCCTGAGGTCGGCAAGATGGAATTCATGGCAGAACATGTCTTCAGTCATGTGCTCATTCTTCTTCCAATCGGAAGCAATAATGTAATGACCCTCATTCTTCAATCTCCGGGCAATGTGGGAGGCGATAAAACCACCTGCCCCGGTAATGGAAATTCGGAGCTTTTCAGAAGGCCAATAAGGCTCCCTCTCAAGGTTCTCATAGGTATACGCACCATACTTAATTTCGCCTGTACTTCCCATTCTGAAAGATTAGATACACAGGAAAAAGATTACCACTTTCGCATTACAATTTATGAGCACCTACAGATTAGTTAACTTGCTTTGCCATACAAGCTCAAAAAGTCATTACTTCTAACAAATCATTAACAATATAAACGAAAACGAACCCCAACCTAACCAACATGAAAATTTCACCCACTAACTAAAATTTCACATCCACTGAGTAGATATTGCAGAGAAATTGAACAATGAAAAAAAATAAAAAATAATAAACCACCCAAGAAAGTTTGGAAAAATGGGAAAAGAGTATAACCAGTACCTACACAAGCAAATTATGATCAAAATATCTACAAATTAATGTAAAGAAAGTATAATTGACCATTTCAGAACCAACCCAAATGAAAACATCCTCAAATCGCATGGAAAAACAATTATATCTTCAAGTTTTTGCTAAAATCAAGTACCTATCTCTCAGTGTATACAAAAGGAATGAAATTTTAGCAGACAACTAGATTACTCCTGCTATACAAACCATCAGAATTCCAAGAATTCAAGAACAGAGAATAATGTTGTTATGAACAAACCCATCAAATGTTACAACCCAGAAAACCCATCAAATGTTACAACAATTGGAACCAGCATGTGAAATAGAGAGAAAGTGAGAGAAACCCAGAAAACCCAGTTGGGAATTTTACCTGAAAAGAGCAAAAGTTTGGAGCTTTGAAGCTTTTGAGGAGTTGGGAAGAAGAAAATGATAGACAAAAGTTGGGTTCGAGGGGATTTATGATATGGGGGTATGGACTCTCAGGTTGTAACGCTCTGCTGCTATATATAGGATATTTGGACACAGCCAACCATACAACGACACTCGTTTATTAATATTAGGGAACTTTAACGAAACGTTTTCGGTATTGTTCACTTTAATGAAAAATTATATTTTTATATTAAAAAGTCAATCATAATACTATTCACTTTACCCTTTATATTGTTCTTATCGTTAAAACTCAAAATTTTCAAGTCATTTTCATTAATTTTCCTTTAATATTATGAGTTTTCCATAAATTATTAAGAGAGATATAGAGAGGCCGTATAAAACTACCAAACTTGTATCGCCATGGAGATACGGATTTAGCCAGTTGGTTATGAGTGTTACTTCACATATCATTTTGTGATTGAGGTCAAATTTATGTATTAAAATTTTGTCTGTTAAATTTTGGGAAATAATTCTTTATTATTAATCTAAAAACTAAAAATTTCAGTATTATATCGAAACATAATTAAGAGTCCCATAAATTAGATTATCAAATTTACCACATCTTGCATATGTGTGTTAGATCATTTAGCTATAAATGAGATCATTTTAGTATTTTTACAATCGAGTTCGATTCTCTTTTTTAGCGAACCAGATTATATTTTTATTAAGAACTTTTTATGAGTCTAAAATTAAAACCATCACGACCCAATTCGAGATGGCAAACCCCAAACACCTCGAGCGCTGGTTATGTGAGAAGTATAGGAAGAGCCACGCAATGAAGATAATCAAGAACATGATGAAGAACATGTGGTAGATGATGCTGAGGAAGAGCACGATGAGAGCAAAGCTCATCAGCAGCTTGGTTACCACGTTATTTGTTTCAAAACCAATGAACAAAGAAAATAATTATTTTCGTTAAATCTGCGTCCAAAAAAAATTATTTTTCATCAAAAATCACTACGTTTTTTTGTGGTAATTTTGCATACAAGTACAAGACTGTTTTTTATAAAATAAAATTTATGAGGGTTCAAAAACAAAGTTTGGGTGTACAAAAAGAAGTAAGATTATCTTCCTTCTTATTTGAACGGTCACGGTTAAATCACGTCAATATTTTATACTAATTTTTATAACAAATGAAAAATAAAATAAAAGAATATAAAAAAAGAAAAGAGAATCCTAGTCTGTATAAAAAACCAATGGTTGTGAAATTCCGGGGTGGCTTCGGAATATAAGGATCCAAGTGAGAGGGCCCCATGACTTGATGGGCCCCACCACGTGTCCAAATGAGAAAGTTCCTAGAAAGATGGACTGAAAGTGCAAAAGGCCTGTTTTTGTTCGGGCCCAAATGAAATAACCTGGAAGGTCCTCTTATCTTAGCAGCTTTCATTTGCTAGCGTACGGAATTCTGTGGATCGTCGGATTGGTTGAGAAAAAAATCCCAACCGTTATTTTTGCCTAACCTGAGTAATCACTCTCCCGACTTCGCCGCACTCTCACCGTCTCTCTCGCTCGACCCGTCTCTCTCGCTCGACCCGTCTCCTCCGCCCGAACCGAATCGACCTCTCATCCTTCCTCTGTCCTCCCACATCAGTGACGTCACCCAAATCCGTCGCCTGAATCGAGCTCTCGGTCTCAGCCCTCACTCCCCCTCGCCGCACAAGGTAAGAAATTCCTGCGATATAAACTCAACCAAAGTTCATGGAGATTGTTTGATTTCGATTTGATTAGTGATTTTGAATATGGGGCTTCGGAATTAGCCACGCCCGATCCTTTAATCATATCTGTTTATTGTTCGGTCAAAAATTAATGTAATTTTTTTATTTAAAATTAAATATAAACAGAACCTAACAAAAACTGATTTAGAAGATTTTCGAGATACTTACAAAGATGATCCGGCGAGGATCCCTGAATTAGGCTTTTTGTTTTGGACCTCGAGTTAAAGAGTGGGCCGTTTGGGCTTACATTAGCACGGCTCATGAGAAACTATGAGCCCGTTGGGCTTACATTATTTAGCGCGTAACTCATAAACATATAATAAAAAATAAATAAAAATAAAATTAGATATTCGATCGCAACTAGAAATCGCACGCAATAAACCGCCGGAAAAAGGATATTTGGTAACTGCGAAGCTGAATCGGAAGCTCAGATTCAAACCCTAGAGGTATGCTGATTCCCAAATTGATTCGATACGCCGTCGTTTTGCAACCCTAGATCCGTCAAAGTTTCATTTTTTCTGCTGTTATCTGATGAGTTGGAATGCTCTGTGTGTGAATTTGATCTTAATTTTATTTTAATTTTTTTTACTGTTAAATGTTTTGTTTGGTTGATTTCTGATTTGTTTATTTGTTTTGTTTGGATTTCAGACTGTCAGTTTATGATTTGAGCATTTGGATGTTTGATTTTTCTGATTGAATGTAGAATTTGAGTGTTTGATTTCAACTGGGAAATTTTTTGGATCCAGATTTTGTTTGCAGGGTGGGAATTAGGCTAATCATTTTCCAGCTAATTTTGAATACTGAATTGGAACTGTTGCCAACTAACTGCATCGTCTTCATTTTCCGATTTTCGATCACTGATATTACTTGTGTGAATTATGTTCTCATTGACATTGGCATCATTGATTCAATTATCTTCATTACATTCATCATTACTTGTGTGAATTATCTTCATTACATTCAAATATCTCGTTGACATTTGCTTATGAGCTTGATGATCTTTCCATAAGATATCGTGTAGTCATAGGAATTGTTCCGCTAGGAATGAGAAGTATATCGATGGGCACTAGTTCTGTACTAAATTAGACTTTCGATGTGGGTGATATTTTTTTCTTCTTTCTTGCTGTAGTCGATAGTAACTTAAAATGGCCGGTAGAGCTAACATCCCCAATAAGAGTTCGGCGCTCATAGCCATGATTGCTGATGAGGTATGGATGGTCTTTTCGGTAATCTTTTGGTTGAAATCTGTTCTTGTATTCTCGATTTGTCTTTCTGATGAGATGATTGTTATCATGTATAGGACACTGTAACCGGATTTTTGCTAGCTGGAGTGGGTAACGTTGACTTGCGAAGAAAGACAAATTATCTTATTGTTGATTCAAGTAAGTTATGAGCTTTATTTATGCACGGGTTTTGAAACTTCATTTATACTGGTCATCTATTTCTAAATATTTGTATGTGGGTAGGTTAGCAGATGGACCAAAATGCCAATTCTAGTATATGGTTACTAGTCTATTAGTCGGATATTTTTGCCATCTAATCCTGTGGGTAAAATGAAAGGGGGAGTAAGGCAAGGGGAAGGAAATCACAAACTTCTAGGAAATGAAATCTATCTAAAATCCATACTTGTTTATCAAGAAAATACAAACAATAAAGGCCGTCATCATTCATTAATGAAGCAAGGTGTAATATTACATTTTGGTCAGTTACGTTTTGGCTGCAGTGACAGCGGTTTGGTGTTCCTTGTGTCTTTCTTCTTGAACGAGAATCACAGAACTTGAAATTGGTCCACAGCCTGGTCCCTTAAATAAAAAGCCTACTTTTCTTTCCTTTTCTGGCTTTTTTTTTTTTTTTTTCTGTAATAACTAATTAATATTTAAAGCAAGGTTTATTGAACGGTGCTGAGTTCTAACAGTATGTGCTTCCGGTTTTCTTCTCAGAAACAACAGTGAAACAAATCGAAGATGCATTCAAAGAGTTTATGACAAGGGAGGACATTGCAATTGTCTTGATCAGCCAATATGTAAGTTCTTTCTCGTACTTAAAAGTTCGTCAACTGTTATGAATGCGCCTTTTCTGGTTCTCAAGGCAATATCTGTAGTGCCCAAGCGCTTGCCAAACCTTTTAGAATCTATAGCAATCTTTGTATGTAACGCAAACGTATGCACTTCTTCCAAATCAGATGTTGGTTGGGAAATGACCCTGTTCTTCTCTTACCAGGTTGCAAACATGATAAGGTTTCTAGTAGATAGCTACAATAAGCCGGTTCCCGCTATTTTGGAAATCCCGTCCAAGGATCATCCCTATGACCCTGCACACGACTCAGTTCTTTCACGAGTGAAGTACCTCTTCAACACCGAATCTGTGGCATCAGGAAGGCGGTGATCATCTTGTCTTTCGATATGTTTTACCCGAGAGGTAGCCAAAAATAAGTATTGCTTTCGATACTATGTATGTTTTTGCCATTCTGTTCACACCAAGTTCTGTACTCCTCACTGATGGTTGGTTGGTATGTCTTTGTACTTAGGTTCCTTTGTTCCTAAAACCTTATCTATAAAATACCATTTCAAACTCTCTGTCATTTTATTCTCCTTGTAATAATCACCATGTAAAAGGACAAGTCTATTATTTATATATGTTGTCTTTTTTTGGGAATTTTCACATGTACAGAGAAAAACGCTTCAAACCTCAATACGTCAAGGATGCAACTATTTACACTTATTACGTAGAAAAGTTGAAACACACGATATTACGAGATTGGTTTGGAGCGCACTAGTGTAGCGTGTGTATTCCAGCTCAATGTAAGATACTAAGATTCGGCTGACATGGAAGATTGACAAAAAAATTTGTTTACGCGTCACGGGTTTAGCTGTTATGTGGCGTTCTGACTTAATAATTGATATTACAGTATTAGAGCACATTATTGAAGTTGGACGTCATGTGACGGTAAATCTATTTTATGCAAGTTGCTCTCTGATGGGAGAACCTTTGTTTAACTCACAGCGATCGTGAATGGATTAGCTTGAAAGTAAATGAAAATGTTTTAATTCTAACCCAGATCATCAAAGAAATATTCAAAGAGCCACCACCAATTTTCACATTATTTTCTTTCACCAATGAGATAAGAGATAAAATATTGGCCTCATAAAATATTAATATACAAAAGAGGTCTCGATTAATCTGAATTTATATTCTCTCCCATGTCTTACTGTGCGGAATTTTAATAACCAGAAATTTGGACTCTTCATTTGTGTGGAAGAGAGATTAGAGTTCTTAATTTGTGTGAGGTGGACCAACGAAAGCAATTAATGAAGACTTTCAAATTCAATTTGAGAAATTCAAATTGTCTGATCTTGGAATTTCGAACAGTAAGATCGGAAGAAGACCTCTATTCAATTAATACTAGCCAATAAACACTGTGTGTGTGAACAATTTCATTTTATTTTTTGTTTTTTTATTAAGGAGTGTGATTAGTTTTTAAAATTTTAAAAAGAGTGAAAAATTGATGGTGAGACAATTTCTCTTAATAAGTGCATATTTTATCTTAATATTACATAATTACTATTTTATCATTTTTATGTAAATATTGTGTATCAAACGTGAGTAAAATAGAAAAAATAGGGATATGATTGTCATTTTCTCAAAGAGATACAAAATTACTATTTTACCCTCCTCATGTAAGTATTGTGTATCAAAAGTGAGGGCAAAATAGAAAAAAAAGACAAAAGATACAAAATTACTATTCAACCATTCAGTATTGTGTATAAAAAATAAGGACAAAATTAAAAAAAAAGGACAAAAATTTGACAAGGAAAGTTCTCTTACTATTAGTATAGATAACATTTTTCTGTCCATCAAATGAAAAAAGGACACGTATTTTTATTAATTATTATTTATTTTAAATTCATTTGGGACCTATATTTGGTGGTGGTGGTGGCACAAAGAGAAAGAGACAAATGGGACTTTTTTTTTGTCCTTTGGATGCCTTAAAAGAGAGAACATAATGGGCCCCACAAACAAATGGGCCCAACAAAATGTGTGGGGGTAGTTTAGAGTTTATCCACAAATGGACGGCGCCAGCGTCGCTTCAATGCCCATCCACTTGGAAAGGCTCCATCTGCAGTCTTTTCAATTCACTCATTGCCTCTTGTTGTTTTATTTTTTTTCTTTTTTTTTTGGAAAACACTCATTGCCTCTTGTTTGGTATGCTTTTTGTTTTTGTTTTTTTGTTTTTTTTTTTGTCAAAGCTTTTGTTTTTGTTTTGGATGTGAAGGAAGAAGTCTGTCTCTTTGTATCAACATGCATGAGAAATGAATTTCGAGACGTTATTTTAATATTATTTCGAGTTAATTAAGTACTGTTATGTAAAAAAAAACAAAACGTATTTACTGAGAATTAAGATAATAGTTTATTGGTATCTTTTTATTTCGTGCATTGTTTGTTTTGACTTGAATTCGGAACGTAATAAGAAGTCGTTTTTTATTATCAACGTATATGAAAAATAAGTCCCTTTTGAGGAGAGGGGAATTGAAGTTCCCTTGCAACAAAAGAAATCAAAGCAAAATATGTTACGTAATATAAAGGAGAGGAAATTAAGACTTTTTTTGTTTGTTAACAAAATCCAACTCAATTGAAATCTAGATTAGCTTTTCTATCTAGACGATGATTTAAACCACTCTAAACATGGCAGAGGAATCAAAGTCACCTTGAAACTCTTACAATATTTTCTAACAAACAAAGGGATTAAACTCCAGTAAATCTTTAAAACTTTTTTCTAACAAACTTGGGTCTAAAGGCTCCAATCATTAAAGGAGAAACTTGAATATAGAAAAACGACACATTTCTCCGATCAGCTGACCTAATGCATGCGTAGATTGAAATCAATGTAATTCAAACACATTCGATCAACCAAAAGGAAAACTTCCCTATCCAATATTCTTCTGAAGTTTTCTTATTTCAAGGACCCCACAGAATATTAATCATCCACGTTTAATATTAATTTAGGCTAAATACCAAATAATAAATAATATTCAACCAAAATATAATGACTTGTTATCCAACTTTAAGGATCCAAATCGGATAAAATCCTTGACCAAAACTAGAAAGCAAGACAATAGGAGAGAGAAACAGAGAGAGAGAGAGAGAGAGAGAGAGAGAAAGAGAGAGATGGATAGGGTGTTTTCAGTGGAGGAGGAAATGTCCGACCTGCTGTGGTCTTCCACAGCGCCGCCGGACAATGGCGGAGCAGACGACGACAACTTGTCTAAGTTGAACCGGAGTGCATCGGAGTGGGCCTTCCAGCGTTTTCTCCAAGAAGCTTCTTCCTACTCCCCCTCGCCATCGCCGACGCCGCCGCCACCTCCGCATCCTTCTTCTTCTTCTTCTACAGCTCACCATCACGACCAAAACGACGTTGAAGAGATTAAGATGATCAATGCCCACCACCATAACGCCACTCACACTCACTACAACAATATGCGGCCGCCTAATGTCACCGTCGATTCCGATGAGTACCGGGCGTTCCTGAAGACCAAGCTCGACCTCGCCTGCGCCGCCGTGGCTATGTCGCGGGAGGTTCGTCCTTTCTCTCTTTCTGGGCATTTTATTCTCATGGTTTCATTTTCTCGTTTGCTCTGCTTTTCCGAGAAAATATGGTCAAAGTCAGACCAATGGGTTGGGAATGAGCTTAACTTCTGTTTGGTTGCTGAGAAAGTTAAAGGAAACAAAAATAGGAGTTTTAACGAAACACTTTCGATACTGTTCACAAATGATATTTTTATTTTAAAAAATCACTTCTAGTATTAGGATTCGTTTGCATGTCCTTTTAAAATGGCTGAAAGCGCTTTTAGAGAAAGTGTTTATGGGTTTAAAAAACACTTTAAGTGTTTCCCGTAAGAAGTATCAGTTATGTCGCTTATTTCAGGAAGTATTTTAAGTGATTTTTTAGGATTTATTTGTATTTTTACTAAGAATTGGTTCCAAAAACATTTTCAGCAAAAGCTCTTTCAATTATTTTTAAAGTATATCCAAACGAGCTCTTATTCCCTTAAAACACATTTTTATTCCTATGATTAAAACTCAAAGTTTTCAAATCATTTTTATTAATTTTTTTAAAAAAAAAAAAAACTTGAAACCTATCATTTATTTATTTTTGTGAGTGGAAAGTTTACCTAAAGTAAGCTGCTTTCTACTTTTGTGAATGGACAATTCAATATTTAAAGTTTCATTCTTTTTGCTTATAGCTTTTTTCTCGGTATCCAAACAGAGTCTATCCTTTGGGGTTGTTTTTTAGGAAACATTACAGTTATGTTCATAGGCGTTTTTGTTAGAAGTAGTTTTATTATAAACATGTCAAAACAATTATTAAAAATTTGAGTGTTTTTTTAAGAAAGAAAATGGATTCTTTTTAGATCCCTTCCACCTAATCCTCCTCATCAAACAATCCAGACCTTTGAAATTTGATCCAACTGCTAAAATACGGGCCCACCTTAAAAGTTGTAATAACTTTAGTCGTTTGATCAAATTTCAAAGGTCCAAATGATTTGATGAAGAGGATTAGGTGAAAGGGATCCGGAGATGATCCTACCTGACAGGTGCTTTCCAAAAAAGTACATCTACTCGAAGTGTTTATAACTGGTTGGTTGGTTAACTTGGTTTGTTTCATACGTTTGAATATTATTTGACGGAGCTAAAATGGAAAGGAAAGAAAGAAAACTTATTGCCACAAAAGGATGAATTTTTTGAAAGCAAAAGCAGGGCTGAGGGCCACCAACCGTGGCTGAAATCCAACGGTCAAAATATGTGTTGACGCTGAGTGTTTATACCCTGTAGGTACTCAAGAAAAACCGCTTAGCTACCGCGTAGTGCTAAAACTAAAACATGAACAATTGAAGCATGGTTTTGAAGTCCGAGTGAAACAGAACAGATGAATGTGTTTTCCCAAAGGAACTTTCTGTGGTAGGGTTCTAAAGATCAAGTAATCTTTTCGAACGCCCATTTTTTGATAGAAACAGAGTTGAAAGCCATACCTTTTTTTTTATTTTCTAGTAAAACGCCGATTCTCCTGTTGAGATCTAATTCGATCTTCATGAATTTCTCGAGAATTTTTCTTACGAAGTTATGTTATGTATAGACAAGTGCTCGCTGATATGTTCTGGTCGTGTCAATAGGGATCGTTGGTGAAAGCACAAGAATCTGCGGTTTTAGCTGACAGCGGATCACACGCTTCAAGTACTTCACAACTCGGATCTGAAGCCCCTTCGAAAGGTTTCCATTTAAACAAAAACATGTTCATAATTCGCATGTACTTCTGCTTTTGTGCTAGATAATGTTGTTAGTATGTCATATATATGTTTTTTTACTATTTTTACCTATGTAGGAGCTGGGTATGATATATCCAGGTCAAATGATAAGAATGCTCATGCACCACTTGGTGTCATTCCTTCGTTACCTTCGACGAAATATAGATCCGCTATCCCAGTAAGGCAGGCAACTAGCGGATCATCGAGAGAAATGACAGACGATGAGGAAGCTGAAGGTGAAACTGCAATGAATGAGAATATGGACCCTGCTGATGTCAAACGCGTGAGGAGGTAACAGCGGCATCTGATTTTCTGGTTGTAATAAGCACAGCCTGATCTCCATCTCTTAGTTATTGATTCAAATGTTTGGCTTCAAATGCGTTTGGTTTCATTGCCTTTCGCTAATTCATCCCGCCTTTTCCAGAATGCTGTCTAATAGAGAGTCAGCTAGACGCTCGAGAAGAAGAAAGCAGGCACATGTGACTGATCTTGAGGGACAGGTTTGTTCCTTTTTTCTCGGCTTCCTGTTTTATCTCTGTCTTTTGGTCTTCGATAGATTTCCTAACGCAATTTTCTTTGTAGGTATCTCAATTAAGAGTCGAGAACTCCTCTCTGTTGAAGCGTCTGACTGATTCGGACAAGAAGTACAACGAAGTGGCAGTTGACAATAGAGTTTTAAAAGCTGATATCGAAACATTGAGAGCAAAGGTAACCCTGTCTTCAGAACTGCTCGAAAGTTAAATGCCTTGGTAACTGGTTCCTCGAAGGCTCTTAGAACATGAACCGAAAATAATCATATAAACTTTGTTACTTCATTTGTGACTAAATTCCAGGTAACGATGGCTGAGGAGATGGTGAAAAGATTTACTGGGTCGAACCCCATGTTCCACGCTATGTCAGAGGTGTCATCAATCGGCATGCCACCATTTGATGGAAGCCCTTCAGAGGCATCAATAGACGCTGCTGTTCCGGAGCAAGATGACCCAAATCATCACTTCTTTCAACCTGCTTCTAATAACCCTATACCAACTCATGACCCGAGAGTCAAGAATGATTCTGCAGACGTTCCTTCCGTTGAAAATGTGCAGAAGAATTCTGCAGCAACATCATCAGCAGATGTGTCGGGGAACAAGATGGGACGAACACCTTCCCTTCAGCGAGTTGCTAGCTTAGAGCATCTGCAAAAGCGGATAAGGGGCGGAAACCCCTCCAATTGGGAGCAGTAGTTACAAACAGAGTGATCTACGCACGAGGAAAGATCGACTAAAGGATGCTTTGAACAACCATTGTATTGCCTCGTTACTTTTGGATTAGTCATGTAAACAACGCTATTCTTCATCTGCACTACACTGAATTAAACAGTTCGATACTTTTAGCACTTTCAATTTTTCTTGTCATGCACGGAACAGATTATACGCACATTTTCGTGGCCTTCTTTGACGCAGCATCAAATTTTACAACTCGAACAAATTCTATAGGAAAATAAAGAACAAATCATTCGACACTGATCTTCAAGTCATTCGGAACATATTGCTAATGGCTTGAAGTTTGAACCGAACTCCAACCGGCTTTGTTTTCGATTCCCTTAACCTTCATTTCCTGTCTTACCATCTCCACATCCTCCCACCTTTCAGCAAAAGCATAAACGTTCGACAATGCTACATAGTCCTCACTCTTTGGAGTTGAATCCACGTAACTCTGTGTGAACTGTACACAGAGCAGCTTCTTCCCCACCTTCTCTCCCATTGCAACATCCCCATGGAGATTGCAAGCACTTAGCAAACTCCTCCACAAGACGGCATCAGGTTCAACTGGCATCCCTACTATAAACTCATAGGCTTCTTTCAAGTGCCCTCCGCGGCTAAGCATGTCGACAATGCAGCCATAATGTTGCATCCGAGGCACGACATCAAACTTGCTCTTCATCAAATGGAACAAATGGAGGCCTTCTTCAACGAGACCTGAATGGCAACAAGCCGAAAGCAAGCCGGTGAAAGTCACTGCATTGGGTTTTATTCCAGAACCCTGCATTACATCCAAAAGCTCCAATGCTTCATTTCCCTTGCCGTGAATGGCTAGCCCGGTCGCCATTGCTGTCCAAGTCAATACATTCTTCTCTTTCATTCGCTTGAAAACGGAGAAAGCGCTATCAACACATCCGCATTTCGAGTACATATCAACAAGGCCAGTCCCCATAAACACATCATTGTCAGGAACACACATTGTCTTCTCCACATAACCATGTACACAAGCCCCCGTTTCCAACACACCTAGCTGAGACGCCGCAGAAAGAACACAAACCATTGTAGTATCCGTAGGTTTCACCCCACAAACATCATCCAACATGTCCCGAAACAACACCAACGCATCGCGGGCACTCACTCTTTGCGAACAATACCCCGTGATCATTGCGTTCCACGTAACACAACTTCTCACAGGCATTTCATCAAACACATTCCGTGCCGAAACAACATCTTCATTACTACCATAATAATGTATTAACGTTGTTGGCACCGAAATATTTGATACGACATCATGTTTCACAATCCGACCATGTATCTGTCTGCCTAGTAACAACGTTGGAACTGAAGGCAATCTAGCACAAGCTCCAAGAACAAAAATGTAAGTAGAATCATCAAAAACTAAGGTTGATTTAGAAACCCAATTGGCAAAAACAAGAAGTGAATCTCTGGGTTGGGAGCATCTGATCAAAGTGTTTAGGAGGAACAAGTTTGGTTCTTGAAAGTGTTGGAATACCAAACGGGCATAAAGGTTGGTGCTTTTTGGGGATGATAAGGCAGAGTATTGCTGGATGAGTTTGGCATGGAGGGAGGGAGATTTGAGGCCATTGGTGATTAATTGGGCATGGATTTTTTTGAGTTGGTGCGTGGATTTTAGGTTTAGGTTTAGGTTTAGGAGAGAGAGAGCTCTGGCTCTTGGGAGATGGTGCATGTGAGTCCTTGAAAGTGAACTTCAAATGGTGAAGTTAGTGCTCTTGCTAATAAAAGCTAATAAGTGACGAATAATATGGATGTCTGCAATAGAAAATAATCGGAGTAGCTGTGTAGACGTGAGTTAGATCAGTTGGTCAGAGTAACGTATTTATTTTTTCACTCAAGTTCGAACTTTATTTATAAAAATTGCAAAAAGACCTCAAACAAACGAAAATGCGACCATTTGATCAATATCTATAGAATGGCTAACGAAGACGTCGGATTTCATAAGTCATTTTTTAGAGGCTACACACTTAATATTTTTTAATAAATGACAATAAATAGCTTCTTATATGAGTCATTCATCTTTACATGACAACGTAACATCATTTCATTCAATTTAAAGATCATTCTCAATTTGACTATTGATCATAAAAATATTACATATTATCATTAACTGTCGATTTTCTCAATGCATTAAAAAGAATGAATGAGTCAAACTATAATATTTGTGTTGTAAAATAATACCACATAATGTGAGGAACAGTGACATTTTACATATAAAGGGGTTACGTATTACTCTTCATATCCCACTAAAGCCACTAAGTTCATTTATCCAAACTTTTGAAATTTGATTCAACAGTTACAATTATTATAACTTTTAAGAAACTCCTCTTTGTAACCGTTGAATTAAATTTCAAGTGACCAAATGAGTGAACTTGTTAACTTTTGATGGGAGAGATCCGGAGATCATAAATATGAGAATTTATTGTAATAACTCAGAAGGATCAAACTTTGGTAGCCCATGTGAAAAGCACTGGTCAATATTTATACCCAAAGGTCCCACCTTTCCCTTATTTTTTTCTTCTTTTGGCTGGAGCCGCCTTCCCCTTCAATTTCATGTTATCTAATCTTCCACACCCCGAAACACACAAAATTCAAGAAAATCTCCAAAACCTTCAAAAACCCAGAAGCCAAAAATCAGATAACGTAATTAACAAAAATCAAATTCATGGAGATATCATCTTTTACTCTGTCCACTCCAAGATCCCCACTTTTTCTCCCTTTCCAATCGTCCCAATCCACCTTCTTGTCCAGCAATGGCACCACCTCTTTGTCCTTCAGCAAAAGCACTGTCAGTGGCAGTGCTTTGGTTCTGAGCAGAAGCAGAACGAGAACCGAGAGAGCCCAGAAGGGTATGACGTGTAACGCTCTGTTTGGTCTGGGGATGCCGGAGCTTGTGGTTATAGCCGGTGTGGCGGCTCTGGTTTTTGGGCCCAAGAAGTTGCCTGAAGTGGGGAAGAGTATTGGGAAGACTGTCAAGAGCTTCCAGCAGGTTGGTTTCTTTTCAACCGGATCTGTTTGGTTCTCGAGAAAAATTATGAACTTTATTGCTTATTGGATTGTTTTTATTGTTAGTGTTGTTCGTGTATTTGGGAATTGGAAGAAATTCAGTAGTTTTATGTATCTAAATAGGGATTTTGTTCTTGGGAAAATTTATTCAATTTCTGGAATTATTGTTACACTAGCTTTAGTTTCAGTGGAAAAAAAAGGAATAAAAGAAGCAAAATTGGGTAATTATGTTTGAGGATGTTGTGTTAAAATGGGAAGTTAAATGTCAAATTAGGAAGAACAAAATGACATGCCATGCTTGCACTACGCGTGCTGGACTCTAGTCGAAGAACATGCTTGTTATTGGAAGAACATGCTTGTTAGTGGCAATAATCGATAGGAGAAAACACTATGTGTAAGAAGGGGGAAGAAGAATTGAAGTCACTTTAAAATGGAGTGAATTCAGTGGGATAGCTTTATTGGTGATTAGGTAACTAAATGCCTTATACTTCGGCCGTTAAATGGCGAAAAGTTGGAATTCTAATATTCCATTTACTTTAATTTCCGGCTTTGTGTTGTTACGAGTAGGGCAACTCTTGAAATGTTGTAGATTGTTGATTATTGTGGAGTTGTACGTTTTAAGAAGTTGTTTCTGCCTTGTGTATGACTTTTGGTTTAAGTAACTGTACATTCGTTGGTGCCTCCATATTGGAGAAAGAAACTAGGGTAACCTCTCAGTCGTATTAGATTTCACAGTGATTTTTGTTGTGAACATATTGTTTTCATCTAAGGTAGTCCTCAGAAGTTTCGGTACTGAAGGTAAAAGATTTCAGAGTTATAACATAGTTCGAAATGATGACGATAGGAAGGAAAACAAATACAATTGTAACTCTTGCTGTTGTTTATGAGTAACAAACGTTAAGCGGGCAAAATGCAACTCCTTTGCATTCTCCCCGTTTTTGCTCTCTTGGAGTGAACAATGTGAATCGCAAAATTTTGAGTGATCAAAATGTGGGGTCTATTTTCAAATAATTATTACATATCTCTAGGGGCTTTATACATCTTGGGGAAGGGGGGGAAAGGGAAAATATGTCTTTGAATTTGCCTTTATGCAGTATGGTCTGAAATTCAGTTGGTCATTGAAAGTTAGCATATATTAACGAACAAATTAGTTTTTAGTTTAGTCGTATGGAACCTTTAATGTTATGTTTACTGTGTTTTATTTTGAAGTGTGTGCTGTGGGAATCGGGAGAACGGGAGAAGGATTAAATGATTATGGGCAGATGGATGCATATAGACATCAAATTCAAATAGTTGATTATGTTGCACATATACTCAGTTTGAAGTTTCATTTTTTGGTCACCAAGTACAACTCTCTCTAGGATTCCGAAGATATTTTTTACTTTAGCGTAAGCATAAAGTCTTCTAGTTGGATATTCTTTTTCTTTTTAAGTAATAAGGACGACAATGGAAGCGTTTTCATAAGTTGTTAAAAACAAGGAGACAGATTTGGCTCATTTAGTTGTTGATCGGTAGGGTATCTAAAAGTAATAGTCTAATCATTACATATCCAAATAATTTCGGTATATGCCTATGTTGAACGATCAAATTCCAAGGAATGCTGAGCAGTAGGCACGTTACCAAAAAGTTTAGTTCATAGTGTAATCGATTAAGCACTCGTAAATGAGGAGTAAGAAAAGAAATAAGGATGCATTATTTATGCATCTAACCCTTTTATTTGATTGGGGTATGGTTTATTTGTGTATGTGGCAGCACACAATCGAAGACTGATTTAAATGTTGCTTCTTTCTTCAGTGAGCTTAATTAAGTGAATAACGTAATCACTAGAAATTTTGAACCCAGTGATACACCTCGCGGTGCTTATACCTGTCACCTATCGAAGTTCTGTTCTTCTTATAACTAATAATTATCTCGTTTGGTCCAGCCTCCTTTTCTGTGCTTCTCATAATTCATAAAGAGTGTATTTGAATCCTCTGTAAATCTTGCAGGCAGCAAAGGAGTTCGAGACAGAGCTTAAAAAAGAACCCGAGGGCCTCACAGAGACACCGACCGCGGTGAGTGAAGAAGAAAAACAAGAAGCCAAGGTCCCAAGCTCACAGGAAAACGCATGAGGTTTTAGTGATCACTCAATCCGACACATTCTCTATTTTTTGTTGTGCTGTAAGTTTAGAACAAGAATAATGCAGATCAGTATTCTCGTTCTTTATTAATCTACTTGTAGTGTTCTGCGAATATGCCAAGTTAGATCACCTGAATATCGTTTCTTTTCATCGGAAGGGATTTGTAGCTTAGTTGATTAAGCGCATTTATCCTTGGTTAGACCCGAACACCTGAGTTCGAATCCTACCCCCGCACCATCACTTGTATCAGAAAACTCCTTTCTTTAGTTAAGGATAGCTTTGCACTTTGCCCTCTCTCGTCAACTCAAACTGCCTTCTTAAAATTTGTCCAAATTGTGTGCCCCTTCTATTGTGTTGGTGTTGCCAACCATGCTCATTAGGTGAAAATGGCTTTTTATTCAAAACGGTCTCTAAGATTGTTATATAACTCCTCATGATAGTCCCTAAGATTTGAACTTGATAGAAGTGGGCCTTGAGTTGTCCACAGTCAATTTGAAATTGATAGAAGCAGATCTTGAGTTGTCCACCATCAATTATTTTGGTCATTCCGTAAAACATAAATAAAAACCAAAATGACAAAAATACTCTCAATTTAATAAATTTTGAGCCAAAATGATATGACAAAATTTAAGGATATTTTTGTTATTTCATCCTTATATAGTGGAGATTTTGCACAGAATAACTAAAATGATTGATGGGAACAAACTCGGGAACCCGTTCTATCGCTTTTAAATCTTCGAAACAAAATTGAAGAGTTATGCCAATCTTATGGACTATTTTGACTAAAAAGCCGATGAAAAAAATTGTATGTCTAGCTGCTCGTATATGGCAACACTCACAAGTTGTGGACTCGAGATGAGACCCATGTGCAGAGGGGATGGCCCGTTGCTTGTAGGAATTTTCCGCCATATAGAGGGAGAGGGATATAAGATTTTTTAATTAGGAGGGGAGGAAGAATATTACCCCAAGAAAAGAAAAACCTTTTGCTTTGGAATGAAAAGGAGGAGCTTCCGAGTTAGGGTTTTGCTTTCCTTAAAAGTAGGTTAAACGTGTCTTGTAGTGTACGCAACCCTAAACCATTTCCGCAGATAATGGATTAGTGGTCCAAATTTGCTATTAATCGCCATTAGGCCATGGCATCATCCCAACTCAAAGATTTATTAATTATATACTCATACTTTTGAGTAAACAATATGGTGAAAGGGTTTTCCGTACAGATCATGTACTTATCGTATTGGACAATCGTAATTTTGGAGCAAATGAATGACAAACAATGAGATATTTAAGAGGGACGGTGCTATCCACACACTCATTTTGACCTCTCAAACACTCCTCTGTAATTTATGTTCTTTTATCTACTTCAATTTATTCGATCTGATGGCCGAAAGTTGAGAAGTGTGTGTGAGAATTAATTAAAAAATAAAGCGAGATACCTGCTATGAAGTTGGTCCTATCATTACAAAACTTTGATATTAATTAAACAGGTGCTTGAATAGTTGACACTATTTTTCTATCATTTCTAAAGCTCTTTTATTTTTTATTTTCTTTGGTTGTAACTAATGGAAGCTCTTTTGTTATATATATATATATATATATATATATATATTTCTCAAGCTCTTTTATTTTCTTTGGTTGTAACTACTGGAAGCTCTTTTGTTATATATATATATATATATATAATAGAGTGTATGTATAGTTTTATATGATGATCTCTTTCAGTAATTGCTGGAAGCTCTTTGGTTGTAACTACTGGAAGCTCTTTTATATTAATTTAATACAAGAAATGCATGATCTCTTTCTTCCTTGTTTGTTTTCCCACATTTCAGCTTTGTATAATTTTATATGATATGCTTTTTTTTCACGGATTGCTTCAAAGGCTTCAATCATATATCAAAAGTAATCTAAAAAAATGGTAATGAAAGGGTAATGATGCACTAATGATAGATATAGCTTCTCTTTGTGGGATACCACGCTACTTTAAAAGAGTTCAAATCTTATGAATTCATTTTGTTTGTGACATATCTGTTGTCTCTAACATTGATGGACACGTGTTCATAAACTTAACCCTTCTTGACTCTGTTCTCATAAACTTAATACGTGTCAATCAATGATAGAGGCCACAGAGAAACCACCCACAAATAACTGCATAAAAATTTGAACTCATGTTAGAAACGGGGCATAATTAACAATCAAATTGCTATCATATAAATTTAGGGTTTTTTTCCCTTAGATTTTGGCTTTACACATGAGGCTAGGTCCCTTATTAAGGCTAAAAGCCTAAGTGAAAGATTTTACCATTTCACCGAGCTTATATCGGCATGTGAGTATCTCACTTATTGCTTGAATAAATTTTAACCTATAGTTGGTTGTATCTCCACCAATTAGTATATATTTTATCACATGAGTAATCATAAATATTTTAATAGGGGGATACGTTTGTGGTTACACCACAAAATCTCGCTCATCTTCTATATGTGACTAGATCATGCGATAAGGTCTACACTCATACAGTGATATATCTTTGGTGATACTCACATTTTTTTTTTATGAAACCACTTTATCTCGGTTTGATTGGGCACTTTTAGACTTATGTTTGCTTGTGATATATCTTCTATAACACCACAAAATTCTCCTTAAAACCTCACGTTAATGTGAGATTCTACTCTATCATAAATAACAGTTCCTCACGCAAGTCTCATTCTTGGTTTAGGTTTCGCCATCTCGAACCCATAAACAAATTAAGCGACGAAGTAAGACACTCACGTGAGGATATATCTCTGGTTGCACTTAAGATTTCCCTCTGAAAACGCTTTATCTTAGTAGGATTAGGGTATTTTAAGTTTTAGAGTTGTATATCATAGGTGTATTGTGGTGTTTCATATAGGTGTATAATACACCTTGTATTATATAAAAAAAGTAACTCCACTAGACAAAGAGCACCGTCCCTTGAAAGGAAAAAGAATTAAAAACTAGAAAGATAGCAACCTTTGTGTCTTCTAATTGTTTAAGATGCAAATGGACAATGTTTGTCACTGAACAGCTAGGCCGCCCGACCGAGACCCCTGTCTAGGCAATTTTTTGTTTGGGCTGCTGATATCGAACCCAAGTTTATGACATATTTTCCCTATTAAAAACGAAAATTGGTATTAGCATTCCAAAAATCTAATATGTGCTTTAATTTTTTTATATTTGAAAAACTATTCTAATACGAGGAGTGCACAATTAGGTTTGCAATTTCTTACACGACCCGATAATTCGACACAAAACTACAAGAAAAATAATAAGTTTTGGGTCAATCTGTTTACGAGTCAGGTCATTATCAGGTCAATTGTTAAGAAAACTTTAATGAATGGGGTCTTTATTAGGTTTGCTATTAAGAACCCGTTAAGATAACGTTTATGCATGTAAACGGCACGAGCACTACCCATTTGTAAGGTTTATAAATTAGAAAAAGTAATTCCTTGCATGACCCATTGACTCAACACAAAATGACCTTTTACCGTATATGTTAAGATAACGAGTTTGACACGATACAATCCATTAAAATAATGGATACAACACGAAAACGATATTAACACGACAAACACGACCCATTTTGCCAGAGCACATTAGATTTTTTGAATGCTAATAATAATTTTCTAGAAATATTAAACAAATAAAACTTGTAACATCCCACATCGACCAATGGAGAGGAGGTGATGTGCCTTATATGTACATGTCCACCTCCTATAGCATGAGGCATTTTTGGAACTCACTGGCTTCGGATTCCATTGGAACTCCGAAGTTAAGTGAGTTCGTGCGAGAGCATTCCCAAGATGGGTGACCTCCTAGGAAGTTCTCGTCTGAATTCCTAGAAACAAAACCGTGAGGGCGTGGTTGGGGCCCAAAACGGACAATATCGTGCTACAGCGGAGTCGAGACTGAGGTGTGACAAAACTACAAATAAAAAAAGTTCCAAATGATTATATTTTGAGGCGTCAATAACATTTCGTTAGAAATAAATGATGAAAAAGGTTGCATTATCCGCATAAAACGTGCATGGAGTGAGTTGCTATCTTTGATTAGAGAAGTGCTTATAATTAAGGACAAAATTTAGAAAATATTATCCTAATTACTTAAGAAAGCAAAAGAAAGAGGACCAAAAGCTAGATGTATGAACCAATAATAGAAACTTAATTACGTGAAGTAAACATAATACCATATTTTTCAGGTTGTAAAATTTGATGGAAACACTCTTGTCTCGTTTTAAAAGTTGGACTTGCTTTTGTAATATTTTTATGCATTGGACGGCTAGGATCATCCATGAGATGATCATTTTGAAAATATTTTTAAAATAACTGAATCTATCTAATTAATGGCTCATTTGAAAGTGTTTTGAAAGTGAATTTAGGAAAAATACTTGAAGTGTTTCCTGCACAAAACACATAACTAGTGTTTCTGATAGGAATCACTTCAAATATTTTTGAAGCCTGCAAATATTCTCTAAAAATATTTATTGTTATTTTAAAAGCACTTATAAACGAGTTCTTAATATTTCTCATTTCGGCGAGGGTATGAGAGTAAAATGGCTAAATCATGTATGAGAGAGTATGCTCTCAAATCTAGCATGATTTGTATCTAAGCTCACGTAATTGACAATAGCCAAAACTCTAACCAAATTTATAAGCTTAAATTGCGAGTACCGCCACGACTAGTAACTACACCGTTACATAACTCACATTTTCAAAAATTTGTAAAGCAATGAGTGGATATTGGATAGTTTCAGTTTTCAATGGTCCAACTGCACATAATAGCGATTAAAAATCTTTGTCGAATAATGACTGCCAAAAGCATATATGCGAACTACAATGAAGTTCTTCAAATCAGACAATTTCCAACTCTTGAGCTAAAATCTAAAATTTTTAGCTTAGAAAAAGTTTTTCTGCTCCAACCCTTCTAGTTTAAATTTTTTTAGCCCGAAATTATTAAAGAATAAATTTATGCTAATTTTTTCTTTTAAAGTAATTTAAAAAAAATATATGTACACTATCATAATTTATTTTTATGAACATTTTAACCTAAAAATATTTAAATTTAGATAAATATTGAAAAATCATTAAATTTGGGTGAATTTTGAGTTAAATATAATTATTTTAATTATTTTAGCCGTTGGATTTAAATTTGGGCAGTTAGATCTTTTTTTTACCGTTAGATTTGATTATATTCGATCTCAGCCGTTGGATTCAATAAATCCCAGGAGACATGCCCATATGAGTGGGGTCCTGCTAGTGATGCCCACGCCATTTTC